CTGATTCTCCGCATGCACGCACTGGAGTAAAAAGCCACGTGACATTGGTGAAAGTCAGAGAAGTCACTTATTTTCTTAAATAGAGCACCGTTTCATTTGTACATAGTAGCTCTCGGAAGAGATCTGGCCATTTGGAACTATGCCAGCAATCTCGTATGTACTCTCAGAGTTGTTGTCAGAAGAGCAGCGGTACAAATAAGAAACCTCTTCCCCACACATAAAAAGCCCCCCAGAGCTGGGCTGCAGAGCTGGGCCTTGATTTTTGTTGTTGTTCTGTCCAAAGTTCAGGATGGTTGGGGGAAGGGCCTCTCCCTTTGAACCACTGATCTCATCTCCTCTACTAAACACCACTGTGGTTGCATTTATAATAACCTTGCAAGTGCTGGATAGTTGATCAGAAATACAAGCATGCAGCCTTCCTTTCTCCCTTCCTCCCTCCCTCAGAAAGGTATAAAGCAATTAATCAAACTAGTCCTTACCAAAGTCCACCTGCAGGAATATAGATATTGCAGTTCAGCTAAGAGGAATTTATTACTACTTGGCTCCTATTTTTCTCTCATAAAACTGACTGACAGGAGACATCAGTTTAACAATTTCTGCAAAGAAAGCGGAGAGCTTTTTCTTAGTGGGGAACAAACAAGCCTTTCAGAGAGTGCAGATCACTTCCTAGATCCGGAAGAAGGAGAGACCAAGAGAATCGAGTGCAAAGGGTGAACTGTTGCAGAACTGTATTTCTATCCAGTCAAGGACTCATTCCCAGGCAAAACTTAAACAACGAACAGCAAGAAAGAGGAGAAAAAAATCTTGTCAATTTATGTCCATGCAAATGAGGCTAATAGTGGGCTGTAAGTGCCCAGTGCTTAACTTTTGATGTCATTAAGGTGTTGAATGTAGCATCCTAACCAATTCATGTCTTTGTTCAGATCTTGATTAAAGATGTCAAATTTGCAGATAAAATTGACAAGGTTTTTTCCCCCTTTTTTTTCCTCCCCATCCCCTCTTTTTCTGCTATTTATTTGAACCTCTGGACCCTTTGCTCCATTCATCTGGAAGTGGGTTGCACCCACGAAAGCTCATGATACCATCTACATTTTTTGTTAGTCTCTAAGAATCTGCAGGGCCTTCATTGTTTAAGTTTTTTCCATTAGGGTGCGTCTAGACAGTGGCGCTATTTTGGGATACAGGTGGTATCCCAAAATAGCATTTCCTGTTTCTTAACAGCATGCCTGTTTTTTCAAAATGCAATTATTTCAAAATGCTTTCGAAATTCCAACGTCCTGGTAAACCTTGTTGTAATAGTGGTTTATTTAGAAATAAGCTTGAAATAAGCTATGCATAGCTCAAATTGCGTAGCTTATTTTGAGCTAGCGTCATTGTGTAGATGCACCCTTTCAGACTAATATGGCTACCCCCCCTGAGACTTTTATTTCCTAGCAAATATTTTCTGTCATAATGGCATTACTGGACATTCTAGAAGACTGCATGGAAGTTAAAAACTTAAGATTTTGCTCTCTGCTGCTGGGAAGAGATGGTCAAAGTCAGGTTTTTTAGTAAATGAAGCAAAAAATTTTATTTGACTCACTTCAGCTTAGCTATTCGCTTCTTTTTCCCTAATGTTCATGTCCCCCTTGTCTCTCCCAGCATAGGGTCATAATGATTGACCACTTGCTTCATAGTATTGTTGTTAGGGTATAAAGTCTGGCTAAAGTTTTTTATGCCTTAGGTAAATGTGAACCATTTGAAATAAGCTTTAAAAAAAATTTTCACCCCAGAAAAATAGTCTCTTCTTAGATATTGTTGTGGAGATGCGCACATAGCTTGCATAGGAAAAAAATGTTGAACTGTACTTAATACACACATTTGTCTTAGAAAATGTATTGCATGTAAATAAGTCCCTATTGATCGTGTATTTTCCGTAGATTTATCAGCTGTTTCCAAGTTATATTGCACACTTTCATGTAACTAGCTATCTAATTTTATTTAATTAACTTGTATTATTTGAATTAAGTCTTTTGAATATAAGTTTGGCATTGGCTTGCTACCTGTCAAGCAACGTCAGCATGATTAAGATCTACGAGCTAGAGAAAAAGGATATCTCGTGGGTGAGGTAACAGGCCTGCACTCTGGAGAGTGAAGTTTCATTCCTGGCTTTTTTTTTTATGGGAGATGGGCCTTAATTCATTTAATCTTTTTGTCCTCATCTATAAAATGACGATAGTGACACTTCCTACCTCAGCTTTTGTGAAGAAGTGTTGGTTAATGTTTGTGGGACACTCTGAGCTATGCCTGAGGTTGAGCTGATGTGTAGTAAGCACACTGCCGGAGCTGTTCCATAAGAATCCAAAGCCCGGTCTGCACTAGAGAATTAGGTTGGCTCCGCTCTGTTGCTCAGGGGTGAAATACTTTTGTTCTAAATAAGTGATACTCTTGGTTGCTAAGTACCGCTGCCAGAGTGCACAGACTTGCAGGGTCTGGACATCAATCAGACCTGCTGATGTGGGTTGATAGGTGAATCCACATAGGCTACGTCTACAGAGGCATGATTTTCCGCAAATGCTTTTAACGGAAAAGTATTCTGTTAAAAGCATTTTCGGAAAAGAGCATCTAGATTGGCACGGACGCTTTTCCGCAAAAGCACTTTTTGCGGAAAAGCATCTGTGCCAATCTAGACGCGCTTTTGCGCAAAAAAGCCCCGATCGCCATTTTAGCCATCGGGGCTTTTTTGCGCAAAACAGTACTGTGCTGTCTACACTGGCCCTCTTGCGCAAATGATTTGCGCAAGAGGGCTTTTGCCTGGACAAGAGCAGCATAGTATTTCTGCAAGAACACTGACGATCTTACATGAGATCGTCAGTGTTCTTGCGGAAATTCAAGCAGCCAGTGTAGACAGCTGGCAAATTTTTCCGCAAAAGCAGATGATTTTGCGGAAAAACTTTCCAGTCTAGACACAGCCATAGGGCTGCATCACCACACCTTGTCTAAGGATGCAAAATTTGTGTGAGGGACTCACTTCAAGGGGATGCACATGGATAGACTAAAAGGGAGGTGGAAGTGTAGCCCAATATCTGAATGGGGACATAGGAAGAATCTAAAATAGACTCTAGTGAGGCCACATCTGGAGTATTGCGTCCAGTTCTGGGACCCCCACTATAGAAAGGATGTGGATGCATTGGAGAGGGCCCAGAGAAGGGCAACCAAAATGATGAGGGGGCTGGAGCACATGACCTATTAGGAGAGATTGAGGGATTTGGGTTTATTTAGTCTGCAGAAGAGAAGAGTGAGGGGGGATTTGAGAGCAGCCTTCAATTTCCTGAAGGGAGGTTCCAAAGAGGATGGAGAAAGGCTGTTCACAGTAGTGACAGATGGCAGAACAAGGAGCAATGGTCTCAGGTTACAGTGGGGGAGGTCTATGTTGGATATTAGGAAAAACTATTTCCCTAGGAGGGTAGTGGAATCTCCATCCCTAGAGGTTTAAGTCTTGTCTTGACAAAGCCCTGGCTGGATTGATTTAGTTGGGACTGGTCCTGCCTTGGGCAGGGGGCTGGACTTGATGACCTCCTGAGGTCTCTTCCAGTTCTGATTCTATCCCATGGAGGTTTTTATATTGCTCCTCTTTGTCATAGTGTTTAAACACTTTTCAGTGTCACATTTGCCACTTGTTCATTCTTTCTCTCCTCTTATGTCTTTCCCTCAACCATGAGGACTAGAAATTTGCTACTTAAAAAATGAAAACCAAGATTCTCACGTCTTGCGGAATTTGGGCTTAAATGTAATGAGGATCATGATAAAATCAGAGAAGGTAGTTCACACTACTGGCTTGTAATAATCCATGAATAAGTGGTTCTGTAAAATTGGTAAGTAATGTGATGTCTGAAGTCCCCTTTTCAGGCAGATATTTCAACAGTTTTAAGGCTGATAAACAATTGTGTTAAAAGCCGGACTCTGCCATTCTTGCTCTTAGTAAGTGCCAGCTTGTTCGGTGAGCTGTTCTTTTTAAGCTTAATGAAATGACTGAAGTTGGGCCTCTATTCTCCTCAGATAAAGGTGGCACAAGCAGGTCTTTCAGTGGTCTTCACCTCAAGTCCCTGCATAACTACCTCAAGGTAGCACAGTAAGGGTACGTCTAGACTGCAAGCTTCTTTTGAAAGAGAGCATCGACACTTCAAAACTGGATCGAAAAAGTGGTCTGCTTTTTCAAAAGTGTCCAGGCTGCATGGACCCTCTCTTGAAAGAAAGCCCTGATTGCTGTTCACAGAATGGCCACCAGGGCACCTGTGCTTTTTTTGATTGCTTCTTCTTTCAAAAAATGTCCCTGTTCTGTTTCCACACACACCTTTTTTTGGGAAAGCTCTTTCGAAAAAGACGTTCTTCCTCGTAATTTGAGGTTTACCAATGTCGAACCCCCCCCCTCTGTTCTTTCAATTTCATTTAGAAAGAAAGCGATTGCAGTGTGGACTCAGGTGAAGTTTTCAAAAAAAAGGGTAGTTTTTTCGAAAAAACAATGTAGTCCAGACATACCTTTAGTCAGTGGCAACTGGGCACAGGGCTCTGGTGTCTTGTCTCCAAGTGGCATGCTCTAATCGCTAGACAGCACTGCCTGCCCTAATGCAAGTAGAACCTGTATCTGATCTGACAGAATTTAAGCATGCAAATGGCAAATGAGAGCCTCTAGTCTCGGACACTATAATTACATACGGGGTGAAAATTGTGCAAAAATTGCGCATACATGCGCAAAAATTGAGTCAAGATTTTTTTAAAAAAAATACAGGCCTTTGTGGAGGAAGAGGCTCATTGTGTGGTAGGCTTTAAAATACAAAATGCATCTGTACATTGTGCACAAAAGAGTGGGAACCAAAGCATTACACGGCAGTAGCTAAATTCCCCTCTTCTCCCACAAACGCTCTGCACATTTTAATAATATTGGAGGATGAGTAAGGACATCATTGTGCACAATTTGTTTGCTGACTCCAGTAATAAAGCATTCTGCCCTTTATTTATAGGACTGCCTCGAGGATCTGACAGGAGGAATTGAGTATGCTGCCAAGATATTAAATGAAATTCCCCAGAAAGACATTCAGTGTTCTAAAAGAGCCTCAAAGGCAGGAAGGGAAGGGAACGGGCAAGGTAAGTCATACATAATGATCTCAGTTGGCGTCCATTGATCTGGTCTAGCATCCTTTTGAGGATGGAATATCCATCAAAGTCTTTTAAAAGTCATTCGCCTGTTCTGCTTACTGGCTGCTGTCACAAACACATGTTGTACAGGGGACAGGTTATCTGTGAAAAGGCCAGTTTCTTTTCCCCCAACTAAAGGAAAAAAGAAACACAACCTGGGACTGGTCCTGTCACAATGCACCTGAAATTCAGAGAGAAAATGAATTTGAAATACAGGGTTGTCTCTTGGACTTCGGGCCCTTTGCATTCCTCATTTCATTAGCTGGGGATTCTTCATGCGTCCGCGAGACCCCAGATAACACAATGGGTACCTTCAGCACCTCCTCTTGCGGCTGTTAGTGTTGAGACGGGATGGATTGCAATGAGCGCTGTCTGGAGGATGACCACTCCATTTTGTGAAGTTCTCGGGATCTCTACCTTGGAACGGAACCGCTACCTTTCAAACATTTCCACAAATAAAACTCATCACAATGACATTCTTGGGTAAGGAAAGCCCAGCTTTTCACTTCGTATGTCTCTTTGTGGTCAGAAGTGACCAGAGACCTCTGGATCTCAAAAGTAAAAACAAAAAGCAACAAAAATCTGGATGAGAGCAGTTGTCTCTGCACAATATTTCAGTCATGGCAGAATGACATATTTCAGTGTCATGAACAGCTTCTTGCAACTGTGTTCCAGCTGTTCTGTGCTGTCATAATGGCCCCCTTGGGGAAGAAAACCAGCCAGCATTCTTTATTGTAGCCCCATTGTGGCTCTAAATATTGCCAGTGCTGAGGTTTGTACAGACCTGGCCCAGGAATCATGGAACAACCAATGATTTTTTGCAGTATTTTTGTTGACATTCTAACCATATCTAGTGTCTTTTGGGTTTTTTTTCCCTCCAAACCCTTCTTTTGGATTCATATGAACACATAATCTCAACTCTCTTTTAGGCATCATGGTTGCAGAGAAAAAAACCTTGAGAAAAGGACTTAAGGGCACAACAAGGATATGTCCAGACTACATGCTTCTTTCGAAAGAAGCCTTTTTGAAATAATCTTTCGAAAAATCTTCTTTCAAAAAAGATCATCTAGACAGCCACCACTTTTTTTGAAAAAGCGATCCGCTTTTTAAAAAAGAGAGCACCCAGGCAATCGGGATGCTCTCTTTTGAAAAAGCCCAGTTTGTGTTCAAGAATGCCTTTTTTCGAAAGAGCTCTTTCAAAAAAAGGCATTCTTTCTCGTAAAATAAGGTTTACCGCTGAAGAAAAAAATGCTGTGTTATTTGATTTAATTTCGAAAGAATGCGGCGGCAGTCTAGATGCAAGTGAAGTTTTTTCGAAAAAAGGCCACTTTTTTTTGAAAAAACCCTGTAATCTAGATGTAGTCTAGACATAGCCTGAAGGTTTAGAAGCCAAAATATATTATTTGTGAAACATGTCATGATGCATAGGGAAGGAAAAGGGCCAGTTTATGATTTTTCAACATCTAGCCTCTGTTTTTCAAGTCTGGGAATGGGTGACAGCGGGGTATATTTTATGATTACCTGTTGTGTTCATTCCTTCTGGGGCATCTGTCATAGGTCCCTGTTGGAATACAGGATACTGGGCTAGATAGACTTCATGTAGCATGGCTGTTCTTTTGTAGCCAATAGAGCTATCTTGCCCTTATTATATTCACTGCCTTGCTGTCGTAATATTCTGTCCTTATTGTATTCAGCAGTAATGTAAGGAACCTACAGACATCTATCCCATCACACGTTACTTCAGCAGTTAGCATAATGCTTGAGGCCTATGAATTTGGCATAGATAAATAACCTATATCACCTCCTACTCTATAGCTCAGGGTACAGAGGTGCAGTGTGACTGACTTTTTCATTTGAAGACAAATTAGCGGTATAGAGACCAGAGAAAAGGAAGGCCAAAAATACAAATTATGCTACTTCCATGTGGAATAGTTGTTGAAAGAATGCTCTTCTGGTAGCAACACTGAGAATACCTTTGACTGGTATAAACTGAAATTTTATGCTGCCATATAAAGGCATGCAATTTCCTTCCGACTTTTGGGCTTGTGATACAAGAACTGAATTACTAAACGGAAACAGCTTTAAACAGAATGCAGTGCTTATGCTGGAACTGAGACACCTGACTAACGCCTTGGACACACCAGAGAGCTGTACAGAGTACAAGTTGTCAGTGTTTTCTGTAAAATCCATTTTGAACTAGGGCAAATAGTTCACCCTGTTCCACAAAACTTTCATAGTATTCGTATTGATAGCAGAGAGCTCTTTAACTCCTGACTGCTCTACCATTGTACTTTATCATGGACCAGCTGCACCTAAACTTCAGCAGATGTTTCCCTCTTTCAGACAACCTCCAACAATGTTGTCCAAGCATATTAAGAGCAAATTGTGAATTGCTAAAAGTCAAACGCTGTCATCAAATGAGATAAGTGCCTTTTTATAACAAAAAACGGCAATATTAACAGCCTGTACCACTGTTTTTAAAATCAAATTGCAACAAATTATCCAGCATTTAATCCAATGTATACTTAGTACTGAATACTAACTAGAACAAAATACCATGGCAGTAAAACAAGCTGACTCACTGAAAAAAGAGAATTTGTTTCAGCTGGGAAATTGCCTTTGATCTGTCATTATTATTTCCATGCAAAAACGTGGGCTGGTGGTAAGCATCACACTGTGTGTGTGTGTGTGTGTGTGTGTGTGTGTGTGTGTGTGTGTGTGTAAGTGTAATCTGTTTCATATCCTGATATTGAGGCTACTGGAACTAATGATTTGACCAAAGAGTAAATATTATAAGGCGGGAAACTAATGTCCTACCATAATATCATAGGACTGGAAGGACCTCAGAAGGTCAGCTAGTCCAGTCCCTGGCACACATGGCAGGACTAAGTGTTATCTAGATCAGGTGTTTGTCCAGTGGAGCAATTCATGGAGATTCCACAACCTCCCTAGGCAAAATATGCTCGTGCTTAAACCTCTATCCAAACAACCACCTATTCTATGGAGAAAGCAACACACAGATCTCTTGTGGACCTATATTTTGAACTGCTTTGCCATAAAGGTCTCCTATGGCAAAGATAAAGAGGGCAGTATAGAAAAAGCCTGCTACTCCCAGGTGGGTTTTTCAAGCTGTTTCATAGAAGTAACTTGAAAATAACCCATCCTCCAACTCCCTTTCTCATTGGCTTCTGTGTCCCTCCATTTCATCAGGTATCTCTTAGTAAGTTCCATTTCCATTTTTTCCTCAGGGCAGTTTGATATATTCGTAAAGTTCAGTGTTCTATTGTCGTTATTGCTTGCTGCAGGCAGCTCTTTAATATCCACCTCCTGCACGTCTCCGGAACATCACTTTAAACCACTGCTTTATTATTTTTATTATTTAAAAGTGAATGCAACTCTTGGGAGCATGCCAGATAGACAGCAGCGGAGACAGAAGTTTATCCATGGAGCTGGTAATAGGCAGCCTCTAGAGCATAGAATATTAGTCTCCATGCCCGTTAAATACTCCATCTCTTTGCTGGCACCATCCATGGGTATCTTAGTGTGCTGGTCTGTCAGGATATGATGCAAAATAATGATGAATTGGCTTCAGTTTGGGGCCTGATTAGCCATTCGAAAATAAAATCTTTGGTCAGTAGCTACTCTGACCACCTTGTAGCTGTTGAATATGTAGCTTAAACAGTCATTGTCTTCTAGTCTTTAAAATCCACAGAGTCTGTAATGGAGTGTGACCCTGTCTAATCTAATGACCACCTCCTGATTGCATGGAGCTAACATTAGGGAGAGCTTTTTGCCAGCTAGTGGTAACTGGGGAGTGAAGTGCCAAATGTTAAATAAGCCTAGGGTTATTTTTAAGCACTGCCTGGTACCGGTGTCTCCCCAGAAAATCATAGCAGCAGCCAAAGGAAGCAAACAAAGGATCCACGTGTTAGAAGAAGGGAAACAAGCAGAGCAAGAATCCATGTTGTTAAAAGTGATAATGGGCCCCAGAGGCCTGAGACCTGATCCCAGAGGACAAATTGGGATGTGGCTCTAATCCACGTGGCTTAAGGGCACGATGACGGCTGCCCCAACCATCCTATGAATGGAAGATACCAGGGATTACTGGGCCTGGCACAGGGCGGCTACAGGGTCACCCCCCCGACACTCACCACACGGGTGGTGGGAGCTAGAGGGGCCCAGCCGCCTGCTTTGCTCCACTGCACTGACCGCACCGCCCCCTTCCAGCTGCACGCGGCTTCCCGGTGGCAGTGGGAAGCAGAGCGCTTGGGCCCACTCCGCTTCCCGTCCGCAGGGGGCAGCAGGCCGGCAGGGTGGTGCGAAGTGGAGCAGGCTGCCTGGCTGCTCTGACTCTTCCTGCCCTTGTGGTGGGGGAGGTGATGCCTCTGCTGCTAGGCTAGGCACTGTCATCCCCCGGGCTGTGTTGCTTGGGGTAGAGCAGGGGCATGGCTTGCAGAAGCAGTGGAGTGAGGACTGGACCTGCGTCAGGGGTGTTGCGCTAGGCCCCACACCTGGGGAGCTGGGGGAGAGTTGCCCCGGGCCCCACACTCCACTGGGGGCCACTTTGCCTGATCCTGCAGGATCTCAGGTGCCTCCTGTGACATGCTTGTCATCCTCTTGCTCCCGTGAAGTTAGGATCCAGAGTCTCACTTTCCCAGGGCTCTGGGTTTGGTTCGTCACGCCATTAAAGTCAAGGCTAATGACGGCATTCACATCCAAAGAACACGAGAATTGTGGGCTGTCGGACCCTCACTCGGTCCCTCTTTCGACCCCACCACCAGCTCCTCACTCAGCTCTACTGTTGACCCCTCTCAGCCCCACCACCAGCCCCTGTGCCTTGCTAGAATGTCAGCCCCCTCCACCCAGCTCAGCCCTGGCATCCCAGCTGGCTGCCAGTCCCATGCTTGCAGGGGAAGGGGTTTTTCAATCTCTGGGCCCTGCATGCAGGA